TGCTTTATTTAGCTTTATTTTATTTTTTTAGTTGTCATACCTGATAATTATATTACTTTATAATTGTATCTCGGAATTATTTTTCGTCAAGTGCCGTTTTATATATTATTAATTGCAAATGCAGTTTCAGTGATAACTTATGTATTATTTGATATTGATTTTATTTGTCATATATACCCAGATATGTCTGTCACAAATAAACACATCATTACAAAGTTTTTGAGTAAGCAAGAATTTTCTTAGATAAAGAAATTAGCATAAAACAAACAACCTGAAAATGGGCCGCAACTTTCAATCTTTGGATGAAAAAATAAAATAGAGTATCAGAAAAACAAAATAAAAAATAACAACTACTAACTGCGCGTAGCGCCAAACAAACTATATTTCCCACATTGGACACAAACATGGTTTTCGGAAAAAAATGCAGTCCGTGTTGCTTTTACATTTTCGCGTTCTTGATTATGGAAAGCTATAGGAACTGAGATTCAGAGCTTTGCATCTTGGGATCTGCTTTGATCTAAATAAGGTTTCTGCGGTTCCTAAGTAAACTTCTTTGCATAAGCAAGGATTATTTGTACACGAAAAGCAATTATATTATGACAGATATTTCTAAGTGAAAACCCATGAAGCTAAAATTAAACAAGTTTTCTGCAGATGAATCATATCTTATGTCTATCTCCCAGCGATGAAAAAAGGAAATACAAAAAGAAACAGAAAACTGCGCGTAGTGCCAACCAAGGTATATTTCATTAGCAATATTCACATTGTTGTTACTACTTTTAATAATTGCGTATTTGTCTGTTTTATTGATTATTTTACTTATTATACATTTATGTCGCATACTTTTTATATTCTTCTATTTAACTTTTTATACATCATTCGGGCATAGTGGTTTTACGACTTATTTTATAACTTATTATCTATTTTATTCTTTCTGTTGACGTTTCATATCCGCAAAGCAACTTGACTAAAAGTTATTATCATTATAGAAACTGAGATCCAGAGCTTTCCATCTTGGGATCTGCATTGATCCAAACGAGGTTTCAGATATTACTAAATAAACTTGTTTTGCATAAGCAAGGATTATTTGTACACTAAAAAGAATTATAACATGATACATATTTTCAATATTTCTGAGTGAAAATCCATAGAAATAAGATAAAACACGCAACCTGCTATTGAACCAAACCTTATAATCCACTCTCCTCGGTAAAAAATAAAAAACCCAAAAAAATATTCACAGCGTGAGATTTTCCAACGCGCGGCACGAAATCAGATGTACAAAACAATATTTAAAGCGTTACTCCATAATTCTCTCTCTCTCAAATATTATCAATTGCAAGTGCAGATTCAGTGATTACTCATGTGTTATTTGATACAGATTTTATTTTTCAAGTGTCAGATATGGCTGTCACTTATAAGCATATACTACTATTATTATTATCAAGTTTCTTGTGGTTAAGCCAGAATTTTCTTAGATAAAGAAATTAACATAAGACAAGCAACCTGCAAATGCACCACACCTGATAATTATCTCTCATCGATGAACAAAGAAACAGAAAAAATAGAATAAACGAAGAATATTAACTATTAGCTACGCGTAGTGCCAAACAAGCTATATTTCATTAGCAATATTCACAATGCTGTTCGCGGACAGCCAAATTGGGTACATACATAGTTTTTGAAAAAATGCAGTCCTGTTCTTTTTAGATTTACGCGTTCTTGATTCAGAAAAGCTGTGGGAACTGAGATTCAGAGCTTTCCATCTTGGGATCTGCCGTGATCCAAATAAGGTTTCAGAGATTCCTGAATAAACTTCTTTTGCATAAGCATTTTTACACGGAAACCATACCTTACAATTCCCACTCCTCGATAAAAAAAATCCAAGAAAAAAATTATTCACAGCCACTACAGACACCGCGTGAAATTATCCGACGCGCGGCGCGAAATCTGCTGTACAAAACAATATTTAAAGCGTTACTTCATAATTCTCTCTCGGAATTATTTTCTGTCGAATGCCGTTCCATATATGATCAAATGCAGCTTCAGTGATTTCTTATGTGTTATTTGATATTTTATTTTTCAAATGTCAGATATGACTGTCACTTATAAGCATATACTACTCTTATTATTATGAAGTTTCTTGTGGATAAGCCAGAATTTTCTTAGATAAAGCAATTAACATAAAATAAGCAACCTGCAAATGGACCACACCTGATAATTATCTCTCATCGATGATCAAAGAAACAGCAAAAATATTAACTATTAACTACCCGTAGTGCCAAACAAGCTAATTTCATTAGCAATATTCACAGTGTTGTTCACGGTCAGCGAAATTGGGAACATACATAGTTCTTTTTACATTTACGCGCTCTGGATTCAGAAAATCTATACGAAGCGAGCTTCAAAGCTTTCCGTCTTGGGATCTGCCTTGATCCAAATAAAATTTCAGATATTTTTCTTATTTCTGAGTGAAAATCCATCAAGATAAAATAAAGCAAGCAACCTGCTGATGAACCATACCTTATAATTCTCTCTCCTCGATAACAAAATAATAAAAAATCCAAGAAAAAATTCTTCACAGCCACTACAGTCACCGCGTAAGATTTTCCAACACGCGGCGCGAAATCAGCTGTACAAAACAATATTTAACGCGCGTGATGAGTTTGTTGTTCACGCGCGGGACGGCCAAATCGGGCGCGCGCGCTTCAGCCGCTTCGAGACGGACTTGCGTACGACACGGCCGGCTCGCAACGACCCGCCAATGAAACTGAAAGTGCAGCGACGCGGCCGGAGCAGACGACGCCGCGCCGGAGTCAAGCCGCTAGGGCTCCGGAGACGCCGAGAAGGGGGGCGCAAGGTGAACTGTGACGTGGTCGCCAGAGATAACGCGTTGCGATCACGCACGCACCTTTGTACACGAAACAGGATGCTGCATTCTTTGTTCAGTTTTTTTATACTGAGTGACCAGGAATAAATTTTCTTTTTATTTTAGTAAAAAATTGTCTTGAAGTTATAAAATTAATTTATTGTAGCAAAAGTACACACAACATAGGCGGATTTCATGATTTAAAAATTATGCTGTCGCGGTGCCTTCCATTTCCGTCGAAACACTAAACGTGGTTTAAAACTGCTAAACATGATTCAGGTTTAATTGCTCTAATTTCTTCCCGTATTTTTTGCTTTATTTTTTGCCGCTTAACATAAACCTTACTTTTAAGGTATCCGCACAAAAAAAGTCCAGTGGGGAGAGACCTGGAGACCTAGCTGGCCTGGTTAGGTCTCCAAAGCTAGAGATGACCTTTACCGGAAATAATTCTCGAACGACTTCAATATATACGTATAAAATCTGGGCTATGTCACGTTAGTTCTCAAAGAAGAACGGACCGATAATTAGCTACTGTTGGGCTATGCATGAACCTTTCGTGTCTTTGCCTTGGATTTTCTGGTGCCCAATACCGACAATTTTGCTTATTAACTACGCCTGAGCAGAATGTTGTTAATTCGGTCGTTTGCAAAAAAACGGTTTTTCTTTGTTTCGGCAAAGGAACGACTGTTTATAAAGTCATTCGTCTTGCACTATCTGGATCTTGTAGGCATGAAGCTTTAAGTCTCTCCTTAAAATTGTATGAAAATATGATTTACGCAATTCTTTTACGAACAGTTATAGCAGCGCGTCCAGCTTCAACATTATCTGGAGTAGTTACAGTCCTTGGACGACCAGATCGTTTCACATTTAAAGCTGACGATGTTTCTCTAAACCTTTTCACCCACGATTTCACTAAATTTTTACTTGGTGCCTTCTTCACTTGCCCAATATTGAAGTGAATGCAAAACCTTTATCTTGCAATTGTGTACGGGTGTTCTTGGAATAAGCCTCAATAATGCACGCACCAGGCCAACGCTCCATTTTTACTACATAATCCGCATCGATCCACTATCGAAAGACGCTACACAGTCCGCACTAAGCTACACTGTTGCCAAGTTATTCGAGTATAAAAAGGAAAATTTGTTCCTGGACACCCAGTATATCGAGAGCAGCCGCGCGGGCAGAAGCCTAAGTACACCCTTCGGCTTTAATAGCAAATTTACTGCTTCTAGCGAAACCACTACCAAGGCAACCCACAAACCTCCGCTATCCGCTATCCAAAAATTAGCACTCAGCCCTGCCTCCTCCCTCCCCCCCCCTTGTTACAATTTTTTTTATGACGCACGACCAGAATTTTAAAAAAATAGCAATCAGGTTAACAAGCCGAATTAAAACGCCATCCATTAAAAATACCTTAAACAAAAATAACAAATATTTAGAAAAGCAATTCATACTGATAAAAAAAATCAAAGTAACAACATTAACAATGCTGTTAAAAGAAAAATGACAAAAACCTTCGAAATCCTAACATCTTAACGAAAAAAAAAAAACATATTTTCTTCCTTATTTGACAAGCAGGCCATAAAATATATAGCACAGAACTCCCCCAGTTAAGATGAGGAAACTTCTCCATATTCTCTCGCCCTGGCATAAAAAATAGGCCTAAGCTGACTGAACCAGCTATAGGTTTGGTGTGTCTGTACAATCATTCTAAACAAGATATTTTTTCGTTTATTTTTCAATTTGAAAGAACCTTCCGATACGTTTTGAACAATAGTCACTTTTAATGACCGAAAACCTGTCTAGTATTTTTCGATTAATGTAACTGAAAGTGCAGCAAATGCGTCCAGAGTCCACAAGGTAAGCTTTAACGTATGTGGGACCATTTGATTTTCACACTATGAGTATACAATCGCTTAGTTCTATTGAGGAAACCGTTTCTATGTCAATATACTCGAAAATACTTGCTTATTAGCTACGCCTGAGCAGAATGTTGTTAATTCGGTCGTTCGCAAAAAAACGGTTTTTCTTTGTTTCGGCAAAGGAACGACTGTTTATAAAGTCATTTGTCTTGCACTATTTGGATCTTGTAGGCATGAAGCTTTAAGTCTCTTCTTAAAATTGTATGAAAACATGATTTACGCAATCCTTTTACGAACAGATCCACTTGGATTTTAAGTTATAGCGGCGCGTCCAGCTTCAACATTATCTGGAGTAGTTACAGTCCTTGGACGACCAGATCGTTTCACATTTAAAGCTGACGATGTTTTTCTAAACCTTTTTACCCACGATTTCACTAAATTTTTACTTGGTGGCTCCTTCACTTGCCCAATATTGAAGTGAATACAAAACTTTTATCTTGCAATTGTGTACGGTTGTTCTTGGAATAAGCCTCAATAATGAACGCACCAGGCCGACGCTACATTTTTACTACATAATCCGCATCGATCCACTACCAAGGCAACCCAAAAACCTCCGCTATCTGCTATCCAAGAATTAGCACTCAGCCCTGCCTCCTCCCTCCCCCCCCCCTCCTTGTTACTAGTTTTTTTATGACGGACGACCAGAATTTTTAAAAAATAGCAATCAGGTTAGCAGAAATAACAAATATTTAGAAAAGCAATCCATACTGATAAAAAAATCAAATTAACAACATTAACAATGCTGTTAAAAAGGAAAATTACAAAAACCTTCGAAATCCTAACATGTTACCGAAAAAAAAAAACATATTTTCTTCCTTATTTGACAAGCAGGCCATTAAAACCCCAACAAATATATATAACACAACTCCCCCAGTTAAGATGAGGAAACTTCCCCCTATTCTCTCGCACTGGTATAAAAAATAGGCATAAGCTGTCTGAACCAGCTATTGATTTGGTATGTCTGTACAATCATTCTAAACAAGATATTTTTTCGTTTATTTTTCAATTTGGAAGAACCTTTCTATACGTTTTAAACAATAGTCACTTTTAATGACCGAAAACCTTTCTAGTATTTTTCGATGTGGGACCATTTGATTTTCACACTATGAGTATACAATCGCTTAGTTCTATTAAGGAAACCGTTTCTATGTCAATATACTCGAAAATACTTGCTTATTAGCTACGCCTGAGCAGAATGTTGTTAATTCGGTCGTTTGCAAAAAAACGGTTTTTCTTTGTTTCGGCAAAGGAACGACTGTTTATAAAATCATTTGTCTTGCACTATTTGTATCTTGTAGGCATGAAGCTTTAAGTCTCTCCTTAAAATTGTATGAAAATATGATTTACGCAATCCTTTTACGAACAGATCCACTTGGATTTTGATTTATAGCGACGCGTCCAGCTTCAACACTATCTGGAGTAGTTACAGTCCTTGGACGACCAGACCGTTTCACATTTAAAGCTGACAATGTTTCTCTAAACCTTTTCACCCACGATTTCACTGAATTTTTACTTGGTGCCTCCTTCACTTGCCCAATATTGAAGTGAATACAAAACCTTTATCTTGCACTTGGGTACGGGTGTTCTTAGAATAAGCCTCAATAATGAACGCACCAGGCCAACGCTCCATTTTTACTACCTAATCCGCATCGATCCACTATCGAAAGACGCTACACCATCCGCACTAAGCTACACTGTTGCCAAGTTATTCGAGTATAAAAAGGAAAATTTGTTCCTGGACACCCACCCCCAGTTCCGAGCTAGCAGCCGTCACGAGCATACACTCGTGCGACTGCGACCCACCCGGACTTACAGTGCGATCCTACTGTGATTTTCATCACGGTACGATCGCCATCCACGATGGCGAGAATAGAAAAGCTGGCGAGCCAGCTGAAGGAGAAAGAGGAGAACTTCGAAATGCTCGCTGAGCAGATGAAAAATCTGCAAGCCGCATTCGAGCAGGCGAGGGATGAGATCGATGAGGTGAAAAGGAAGCTCCTCAAAGCAAAGAGGAAAGCTAAGAAGACGGAGGAAGATGTAGAAGGAGAGGACCAGGGAGAGGAGGACCAGCAGCCTACGGAGAACTTGGACATGGATGCCCAAGATATCGACGTAGAAGAAGCGGAGAAGAGGACGGACGACACCGATTTCAGTGTCGCCACCAGACGGAGGAAGCGGGTGCGAGTTTCCTCCTCCGAAGAAGAAGAAGAACCCAGGCAGCCAAAGATGCCGGCTGCCACCAAGAAGAGAGGTCCTAGAGCAACCAGGACCACCGAGGCCCCCATGGCAGGAACAGGAGTTCCGCCAATCAATATCGAGGGCACCGCTGATTGGTCATCCTTGAGTAGGATGATGAACAGCAAGGGGATTCAATTCTCCAAAGCGAGGACGGCGGGTACCAGTGTGAAGGTATTCACAAATACACCAGCTGACTACCGTCAGCTAGTCGCACTGCTTGAATCCATCAAGCGGCCCTTCTTCACATATCAACTGAAGGAGGACAGGATGGACCAGAGGGTCATTCGTGGGCTTCCGAGAGAGATGTCAGTCAATGACATCAAAGAGGATCTGGTGAGCCAAGGCATCGCAGACGCCGTGGTTCAGCAGCTGACCTCAAGGACCACAAAGAAGCCACTTCCGCTCTTCCTCGTCAAGACGAAGATGCCGGAAAAGCTTGCAGAGATCCAGAGGCTGGCCATGCTCACGGTCAGCTTCGAGAGGAAGAAAAAGTCTTCCGAGCCCAGCCAGTGCTACCGCTGCCAGCGGTACGGGCACACACAGCGGAACTGCCGTCTCGCTGAACGGTGCGTTAAGTGTGGAGAGGACCACAACAGCACCAGCTGCAGTCTGCCAGCGCCGCCAACAGGGCAACGAAACGCCAAGTGTTGCCTCTGTGGAGAAGGCCACCCCGCCAACTACAAGGGATGTAGTAAGGCGCCGAAGAAAGCTGCTTCCGCCCCCAAAGCAGTCCCCACCACAAATAGGACTTCTTACGCCCAAAAAGTGAAGAAGCCTATGTCCACTTCTGCCCCAGCAGCCGCCACTGCTACTGGAACTACTGCGCAGAAGCAACACGGCGATGACAGACTGCTAGCAATGATGCAAGCCATCATAACCCGCCTGGATGCACTCGAGGCCAAGATGCAAGACAAGCACTAGACCCGAAATGTCTACTGGTCAAAACGTAGAATCTCTACGCATTATCTCCTGGAACATCAACGGTTTCAGGGCACGGAAACCAGAAATCCAGGAGATACTAGACCAGTACCAACCAGAGGTGATGGCCATCCAAGAAACGAAGTTGGATGCTGCCCATAGTCTGACGTTCCCGCGGTACGAGACGTACCGCTACGACAGAAGGGGCAGAGGTGGAGGAGTCGCATTACTCGTCAAACGTACCTTGACGAGTCATGTCCTCGACGATGCCGCAGACATAAATGGGGACGGAATCACGGTCCAGGTCCATCACAACCACCGTCCCTACAGAATCACCTCCCTATATGTGCCACCAGGGGAGGCCCTAGACGAAGATGACATCGCTGACCTCCTGAGAGGCCCAGGAGCACGCATAGTCATCGGAGATCTAAACTGCAAGTCTCCGGCTTGGAACAACAACGTCGAAGACAGGAATGCAAGGCAGCTCCAGGAACACGTCGATGCCCTGGCGGGGGTCATCGTCGGTCCGGAGCAACCAACCTACATTCCATTCGGCCTTGGGCGACCTGCGGTACTGGACATAGCCATCCTCCGCAACATCAGAGAGGAGTTCGAGATAGAGACCCTGGTGGAAGGATCGTCGGACCACAATCCGATTCTACTAACACTTGGTACAGGGTCTAGAACTCGAGATAGCTTGAGCACCAAACGGACGAACTGGAACCTTTACAAATCCAACGTCCAGAGGAACATCACTCAAATTCCAACCATCCGATCAGCGGAGGAACTGGACAACGCAGTAGAGGAGCTGGAGAATGCTGTCCTGCGAGCGCACGAGGACAGCACCCGCTCCGAGACTACGGCAGTTCCTAGATACCTAAATGGTCCAGCACCGCACCATATTAGGCACCTGATCAGGGAGAACAGAAGACTCAAGCGAGAACATCTCCAGCTGTTGACAGAGGAGTCGAGAGTTGCGCGAAACAGAGCATCGTTAGCTCTGAAGAACGCACTCGCGGAACTCCAAAACAACAGATGGAATGCAGCCTGTGCAGAACTAGAGACCCAGGATGGTACGGCCTGGTCTATGCAGCGAAAATTTCGTCGTCAGCGCACCACGATCCCCACTCTTCACGGCCAACGCGGCTTGGCCTACTCCAGTGAAGAAAAAGCCGAAGCATTCGCCGATTCGCTAGAATCCGAATGCAGACTCAATTACCATGAAGACGAGGACGACAACCACGAGGAGGCCGTGGAAGTCGCAGCCGAAAACATGAGGAGTCGACCACCTGGCCAGGAGACGGATCACCCCTCCAGTCCAGAGGAAATCCGTCTGATCATCCGCAGGTTGAAGGTCAGAAAGGCGCCGGGAAGGGACGGCATCAACAATAGGATGCTGAAGAACCTTCCCACCAAAGGCATTGCTGCGCTCACCAACATCGCCAATGCCACTCTGAGACTTAACCACTTCCCGCGGCGGTGGCGGGAAGCCCAGGTTATAATGCTCACCAAGCCAGGCAAGGACCGGAAGTTGCCCCAGAACTACCGGCCCATCAGCCTGGTTTCCTCGGTGGGCAAAGTAGTCGAAAAGGCTATCGCCGTTCGACTAGAGAAGCAGGCAGAAGAACTGCAACTTCTCCCCCCAGAGCAATTCGGCTTCAGATCCTCCCACAACACGGAACTCCAAGCGCTACGACTGACGGAAAACATCACCAGCGGCTTCAATCTCCAGGAGGCAACCGGTCTCGTCCTGCTGGACGTGGAACGAGCCTTCGACCGAGTTTGGCACGATGGACTCATCGCCAAAATGAAAGCCGCCGGAATCGATGCGAACATGTGCCAACTGATCCAGAGCTATCTAACACAAAGATGGTTCACGGTGAAGATTGGTACATACCATTCAACAAGACGTCAGCTGGAAGCAGGCGTGCCCCAGGGGTCAGCCTTAGCCCCCCTGCTCTACAACATCTATACTTACGATGTGCCGAAGACAGCTGACACAATGCTGGCCCTATATGCAGACGACACTGCTATAGCCGCCAAGCATAGACGACCCGAGATCATCCGTAGGAGACTACAGGGTGAACTGGACCAAATTCAGGACTGGTGCGTGAAATGGAAAATCCGCATCAACGTCCAGAAGACGCAGGCAATCTTCATTCAACGAAGAAGGATTGCAAGACCTCTCGAAGCATCCATCTTCGATGAAGATATCCAGTGGAGCGACAATGTCAAATATCTGGGGATCGTTTTTGACAAGTCCCTCACCTGGAAAGCGCACATAGAAGCTGTCATCGCAAAAACCAGAGCAGCCATGGCTCAACTCTATCCATTACTGGGGAGACACAGCCAGATGCCGCTAGCGACCAAGCTACGGCTGATCAAGGCCATCGCCAGACCTCAGCTCGCTTACGCCTCCGCGGTCTGGGGGTACGCTGCCCCCAGCTACCGCAAGCGACTTGCTGCTCTAGAGATGAAGCTACTCCGGATCGCCACCAATGCACCTTCCTACGTAAGGAACTCAACCTTGCGTAGAGACCTGCATTGGGATACCATCCACGAGTACATGAGGAAAAAAGCGGAGAAGACCTTCGAGAAAGCTCAGGACCACCCGAACGAGCAGCTACGATTCCTCATGGACTACGATCCGGACGAGAGGCCTCGCAACCGCAGAACCAGGTACCCCAGACCAAGGTCCCAGTTGGCACCCGCTAACTGGAACCTTGACTAGGAGACTAGGAGAATTTGCGGCTGCTCCCCCCCCCCCCCCACGGCGTGGATGCAGAGGACCAGGAACCACCGGGACCAGGACCCACCGGGACCAGGACCAACCAGGACCCGCCACGACCAGGACCCACCAGGACCAGGACCCTTCAGGACCAGGACCAGGAACAACATATTGGTAAGATGACTTGAAACTCTTGATTTTTCGAAAACAAGAGTTTCAAGAGAAACTAGCAGACCCTCTATCGATGATCGCTTAACGACATCGATAGAATGTGCGAGGTAAAGGGAACCAACCCGGCGTTCCCAGAGACTGAAACACATGAGGAGACGTTGTAGCAGACCGCAGGTCACGCACAACACATGGCCTACCGAGACGCTGATGAGTCGGGCCACGCGGAGGTTTAGGGTTTAGTGGGTATTAGGTGATCTCTTCAAGACCCTGGAGCCCCACACACGTCGTAGCTCGTGCTATGGTATGGTGCGTAAATGCATTCCCCCCTCGTTAAAAAAAAAAAAAAAAAAAAAAAAAACACCCAGTATATCGAGAGCAGCCGCGCGGGCAGAAGCCTAAGTACACCCTTCGGCTTTAATAGCAAATTTACTGCTTCTAGCGAAACCACTACCTAGGCAACCCACAAACCTCCGCTATCCGCTATCCAAAAATTAGCACTCAGCCCTGCCTCCTCCCTCCCCCCCGCTTGTTACAAGTTTTTTTATGACGGACGACCAGAATTTTAAAAAAATAGC